ACAAACTGCTAAATACCTTTTCTCATCAACAGTATATGGTCTTGTGATTTCTATCAGTGCCCAGCAGAGCACAGGTTAAAGCTTATAGGGGGAGTTTTCATTCTCCCCTGATTGTCCTATGAGGCTGCAGGATCCATGACCCTCTGTCTGAACAGCGCTGATTGGCCCTGTGCAGATCACATGCACTCTCCCAAGAAAGAAAACAAAACAAAACAAAACTCTCTAGTAATATACACTGAACAGAGCATGTGCAGCCTGCCCCTAGGACTCTGTTCTATAACAAAAACCTACCCAACTTTGTCTATATTAAACTATTTCTAAGCTACCAAATACATTTGTCTAAAACCTGAGCCCAGGACCAAAACTGTATTTTTAACCTTTGTTTAAGAGAACAGAGCCTCCATCCATCTTTTGCTGCTGTCATGGTCCCTATTTAGGGAGATACCCTTGACCTGTGGTCACCAGGACAAAAAGTGAGAGGAAATGTGTCAAGCTGGGACATGCTGCAATATAAAATCGTTTGTGGGAACCAAGTTGGTCCAAACAAGCTATTTACTTCACTAACAGATGAAGTGTGCCCTGTATGAAATGTATGTAGCCACAGCTACATACAGTATACAGCACCCATGCCACTGCCAGTGTTCTGGCAGTGGCATGGGAACTTCCTGTCCCCCTCCCAGAACAAAATAGAGTTGGGCCCAAGCATTGCTCAGCCATTCACAGCAACCTTTGTATTTTATGAATGAATACAAAGCGTCCTCTGATTGGCTGAAGCAGACAGGCGGGCAGATGATGTCACAATGGTCCAAAACAAACTAGTGATGCTAAAGCTTTGTTTTAGGGTTTTTTTTTTTTTTTTTTTTTAATGCAAACATGTCAATACTTACCTGTTCTGTGCAGTGGTTTTGCACAAAGCAGCTCCATTCCTCCTCTTTTCGAGCCACCCCCCCCCCCCCCCGGCGCTCCTGGCTCGTCCCCCTCCAGCAGTGCCCAAAAGGAAAGCCGCTAACCCTGGGGGTACTGCTGCATGCTCGTCCCAGAGCTGTTCATAAGACATAGAGCCTCAGCTCGGCCCCACCCCCCTATTCTCATCTCATTGGCTCACTGGCTGTGATTGACATTGTTGCATTAGAGGGGGCTTAGGTAAGGATTGGGGGGGGGGGGCACTGCATACAGTTTTTTTTTTACATTATTGCATAGAATAGATGAAGGTAAAAAAACCTTGAGAGCCGATGCACACGTGTGGTGGGATTGAAGCTCAGGTTTCACAGCTAATTAATACAGTAGTTGTATGTTTTTGGGTATGTTTATGCCAGGTAGTTAGCTGCATGGCTGTCTGTAGCTTTTGTACAAATACAGTATGTAGAAAGTACACTCAAAGTGAAGTGAGAACCTCTGATCTGCATACTTGTTCCAAATTAGGTGCTCAAACAGTGCTGAAGTCAAAGGATTGGCAACAAAGCAGGGTGAAAAGCATTTTCAAATAGCAACAGCAACCTACCTGTTTCTCTCAGCCCATGTTTCTATTAAACATACTTGACAAGGTAAGAACTTCACAACTTAGAAATTCATAAAGCAATAAGTTCTACCCATAAGCAGAATACTGTATATATAGTGGGGCAAAAAAGTATTTAGTCAGCCACCAATTATGCACGTTCTCCCACTTAAAAAGATGAGAGAGTCCTGTAATTGGCATCATAGGTAGACATCAACTATGAGAGACCAAATGAGAAAAAAAAATCCAGACAGACAATCACATTGGCTGATTTGGAAAGAATTTATTTGCAAATTATGGTGGAAAATAAGTATTTGGTCACCTACAAACAAGCAAGATTTCTGGCTCTCACAGCCCTGTACCTTCTTCTTTAAGAGGCTCCTCTGTCCTGCACTCATTACCTGTATCAATGGCACCTGTTTGAACTTGTTATCAGTATAAAAGACACCTGTCCACAACCTCAAACAGTCACACTCCAAACTCCACTATGGTGAAGACCAAGGAGCTGTCGAAGGACACCAGAAACAAAAAATGTAGACCTGCACCAGGCTGGGAAGACTGAAGCTGCAATAGGCAAGCAGCTTGGTGTGAACAAATCAACTGTGGGAGCAATAATTAGAAAATGAAAGACATACAAGACCACTGATAATCTCCCTCGATCTGGGGCGCCACGCAAGATCTCACCCCGTGGGGTCAAAATGATTGGTGGGGTCAAAAAGAACGATGAGCTGAGAGCTGGGACCAATGTAACAAAGGCTACCATAAGTAACACACTACGCCGCCAGGGACTCAGATCCTGCAGTGCCAGACGTGTCTCCCTGCTTAAGCCAGTACATGTCCAGGCCTCTCTGAAGTTTGCTAGAGAGCATTTGGATGATCCAGTAGAGGACTGGGAGAATGTCCTATGGTCAGATAAAACCAAAATAGAACTGTTTGGTAGAAACACAACTCGTCGTGTTTGGAGGAGAGAGAATGCTGAGTTGCATCCAAAGAACACCATACCTACTGTGAAGCATGGGGACGGCAACATCATGCTTTGGGGCTGTTTCTCCGCAAAGGGACCAGGACGACTGATCCATATATAGGACAGAATGAATGGGGCCATGTATCGTGAGATTTTGAGTGCTAACCTCCTTCCATCAGCAAGGGCATTGAAGATGAAACGTGGCTGGGTCTTCCAACATGACAATGATCCCAAACATACCGCCCGGGCAACGAAGGAGTAGCTTCGTAAGAAGCATTTCAAGGTCCTGGAGTGGCCTAGCCAGTCTCCAGATCTCAACCCCATAAAAAAACCTTTGGAGGGAGTTGAAAGTCCGTGTTGTCCAGCGACAGCCCCAAAACATCACTGCTCTAGAGGAGATCTGCTGTTAGGGATCCGGGTATGACCAGAAATGTGTGGGAGCACAGGCGTAGTCAGGGCTGGAGACGTGGAATGGTCAGGTAGGCCGTTAGGTACTGTGCAGGGCGCGGGGTCTAAGTCCCAATCTGCTTATTCACCAGGGCCCCTGATGGTGGGGATGGACTTGGAGCAGACTGAGACCAGGTCGCAACCCCTGAGTACACCCGGCAATGGTAAAGAGTGTCATCAGAGGTGTGCGAGGAAAGGAGCCTGATGTGAAGAGGCTGGCAGACCTGGTAACAGGGACAGATCCGTGCGGGATGGATGGATGAATCGTCTGGGTAGCGTCAGGCGTAGTCAGGCAGGCCAGGTCAGCAACGGTACCGGAGGAGCAGGCAGAGAATAGTCAGGATCACAAGCCGGGTTCAGTAACTCCCGGGCAGCGCGGTACAGAGGATCAGGCAGAAGGATGGTCAGGCAAGCCAGGGGCTAAACAGGAGACAGTCAGCAGAGGTCAGGATCAAAGCAGGGTCAGCAACTAGGCAGATAGGCAGGATACCAAGTACGGGGGCTCATGGGAAACAATACACCAAGGCACTGACTGCAGGTCTGGCCATTCCTTAAATACACATCCTGCAATCAGCCTCAGGTGATGGCTGATTGCAGGAGTGAGCTTCTGGTTGCTGAAAGCACCCGCTGGCCAGCCCTGGTACTGCAGCCCACATGGCAGGTGAGTCCCACCACCAGTGGTGAATCCATTCCTGACATCTGCATGGAGGAATGGGCCAACATACCAGCAACAGTGTGTGCCAACCTTGTGAAGACTCACAGGAAACGTTTGACCTCTGTCATTGCCAACAAAGGATATATAACAAAGTATTGAGATGAACTTTTGATTTTGACCAAATACTTATTTTCCACCATAATTTGCAAATAAATTCTTTCCAAATCAGCCAATGTGATTGTCTGGATTTTTTTTTTCTCATTTTGTCTCTCATAGTTGAGGTCTACCTATGATGTCAATTACAGGCCTTTCTCATCTTTTTAAGTGGGAGAACTTGCACAATTGGTGGCTAAACACTTTTTTGCCCCACTGTGTGTGTGTGTGTAAATACACACACACACACACACACACACACATATATATATATATATATAAAAAACACACACATACATACATATACACACACATACACACACATATACACACACACAAATCTACATAATACAGGGCTCCAGTATAATTATGCTTAAAACTAGGCATTTCCCTTTCCCATTACACCTTTCAGCTTACCACTCAGAACAAAGTAAAACTAACATCACCTAACGTTTACCTGTTATGAAATAAATATTGGAGATGCCACTGCTGGTCTGCTTATTAGGCCTCAAATCACACAGGGATTAAATGCATAGCCCATGATTGGGCCATGTGTTTATGCAGATTGTGCGGCCAGGTACTGCATGCAGGCAGCTTATTCATGTTTATGGAGATGTATTGGCTGCACAGGTACACCCGCTTATTCTAATTTGACACTTGGGCAGTTGGGACCATGAAGCCTACAACAAAGTTTACTGTGTGGCTGTATATGCCTTTCAATTTTGGCGCTACTAAGCTAAACAAACTTGTATATTGGGAATTTCAGAGAAAAGTCAGGCATCCATATCTATATATTTGTTTCAGATCAGTTACTCTACTGTGATGAAGATCAGCATAGCAAATACTGTAAGTAGCTAGTATTTTCAAGAAAAAGGGTCCTCAATTAAAAATGTTAGTTTGACAACTATGGATATTATTAGGTATACTTACTGATTGGACTTTTTACAAACATATATTCTACTCATTTTGGTATATTTTCCACACCAATTCCAGTGCAATAAATATGTTTATAATATTACACAGGCAATATTTTTCTAGTTCAAACCATATGATAGCAACCATACCTGTCAAATGATCGGAATTGTACTGAATGCTCAGCAGCAGGGTCACCAAGTGCTCCTAGGAATGTGGGGGGTAACAAAGTTGGGTCAACAAGAGATTCTTCAGCTGGGGAGCTCACCAGACTCCGGAGAATGTCTTTTACATTTACATTCTTGGTGGTGGACTGCTCTCCATTCCCATCACCTACAGTATCATTAGATTTTCTGACTTCTGAAGACAGGGTATGCAATACTTCACTAATGGCATCAGGGCCTGAACTCATGGGATCAGTGCCAACTTCAGTCTCTGAATTACAACCTGACACCAACATTGGTTCTTCTCCAATACCAGAGTCTCTTCTTCGTACAGATATAGAACTCTCCAAATCCTCTGAAATCTCTGGTGTGGAACTGGGTAGAGCATCTGTAAATGAAGTTGCAGGCTAGATCAAGCATTTTAAAATTAACCAGACATAAAAAAAGAAGAAAAAAAAAAAAAGTTAAACTAGCCATTTATGTGACTTTGGAATCAATAACACCAAATATCCTAATTGTGAAGACATCTTAGATCTCATTCACAAGGGCATATGCATGCGTGCATCCTTGAGAAGGGCAATCTTCGCCAATACAGGATGCACAAGTGTTCTGTGCTTCCATGTGCAGGCAGTCCCGTTTGTGTCTAATAGGACACAAGGAGTGCATGGACACAGCCGCTAGTCCCAATTTGAGAACTTTACGGGGACATGTCCCCGAACGCATCCGTCAAAATGGGAGCAGTTTCTTCGTCCCAATAGACACGAACGGCACTGTCTGAATCCCATGATGGTGAAGACGGCCCTTTGTATGGGTGTATGCATAGATATGCCAAATGCAAGCATATAAACCCTCCCCCAAATACCAACACCATCTATTGTGGCACTATGCTATGAAAATCCCACTGTCTGCAAAAAGTGGATTTTCTGAGAGAGGGCTCCATTTTTTTTTTTTTAGAAGTCATAAGAACTGGCTCAGTGCCAAGAGGAATTTGGGCTAGTATCAGCATGGAGGAGACCTACAAGCTTGCCTACCATGCTGGAACTTTTATGGAAAGGGTAGGGAGCTCTTTATCTCAATGTTTCCCTAGATTTATAAAAAAAATATGTAATACAAAAAGTGCAAGCACTGAGAAGTAAAATGTAGGTCCTATTGTTAATTTAAAATATAAAATCAAATTCCAGTAAAGTAAAGATTGTAATTGTGATTTAGGGTGTAACACACAACATGGTGCCAAAATGACACCCCCACCCCCACCCTCCAAAATACCCCTTGCAGCAGCTGTAAGATTTGAAATTACCACACAGCACAATGCAGAAGGCCAACAGATATGATAAATCTGTAGCTACAAAAATGATCAGGAAAAAGATTTCTGTAACATTTTCTACATATTAGATAACCATGTAATGAACGACAAAATGCACAAATTACTAAAAAAAACACGATCGGTAGAAATCTTTCCTTAGTTAAAGTAATCTGTATTATGCAACATTTGCAAATAAACCAGGATACAAGCATACAAACAGAAAATGAGAAAAAGAACTAATGTGCTGAACATGGTAAAAGTATAAAAAAAAAAAAAAAAAAAAAAAAAAAAATGTGTGCTGGGAAAAATGTATAAGGATAAGAATAAAAAATAAAAAAAGGGAAAAGAAAATATGTAAGACACAAAATTCCTCTGTAAATTCTGCTGTAATATTCAATATGACAACTCATACCTATATGTACTGGTATTGTGAACAGACATGCTGGTGATGCCTAGATTTATATGGCCGCATGGTTATAACTACCTGAAGTTCCAGCATCAGCACTGCCATTTTCCACATGCTTGGAAGGGGTGCTGGCTTGAAGCTGCTTTCTCTCATTCTGAGGCTCCAGAATGTCCCGATACTTTGATACCATGAGCACAGAAATGAAGTAGACAACAGCCAGTGCTAGAAACTGGGCCTGCTTACTGTCCTCCTATGCAATGAAAGGGAGGTGTTACATGTTAATGTTCAGGTTCATTCTTTTTTAAAATATTTTAAATATATTTTGGTGGTACAACAAATTCTGGCCTATTACAACATAATATTGTTGAATATTAACTTTGCTTCTCTTAAAGTGGAACTCAAGGCACATGACTACATAAACAACTGAATGCATACTGTATATTTAAATTTTAGAAAAAAAAAACATTTTTTACTTGTTTGTCCAGTAAACATCTCTATCACAATGCATAGCCGTGCAGTTGACACACTTCTCTTGGTTCAGCAAGGCAGCTTCCCATGTCACCTGCCTTCTATTTATTGAACTGTATTGTTACTGTACTGTCTCCCTCCATAATGTAAAGCGCTGAGCAAACTGTCGGCGCTATATAAGTCCTGTATAATAATAATAAGGTAATGAACCAGCATCATTAGCTATGTAATCCAGGATCAAATAAAGCTGAAGCTAGAAACTGTGAAATGAGCATCCTGATTGGTCATTTACAGGACAATCAAGCCTTAGCCACTTTGATGCAACAGATTTAGAAAACACAATAGAGGATAAGCCTAAGGCCCCTTTCACATTGGTGCGCTTTTGCTGTGCTCTTCCATGGTGACAAAACCACACAAACACTATTCCTCATTTAATTCTATTTACCTGTTGACCCTGCAGGTGCACTGCCGTTAAAGTCCTGCATGCTGCCGCTTTGGTGCAGTTTTTCAAAAGCACACCAAAAAGGCATCTTCCATTGCAAGTCAATGAGAACGCATCAGTAGCCCATCAGTGTAAAAGGGCCCTAAGAAAAAGCTTTTGCTATTTTGTTCAGAGATGCCTGAGCATCGTAAATAGATAAACCCAAGGTCAGCCACAGTCATAAATGCAAAGTTATAGGAAATACTGTATACTGAACACTGAAAAAAGGCCATCTCAGGATTTCCCTCTTACTACCAGTATGCCTCAGTTTGTAGCAAAGCAGTACCAAGAGTATGATCATCAACACAGAGGTTGGAACACTGAGGGACAAAGGAAGTCATTAAACGGTCAGGACATCCAAAAGCAGAAGACCAGGTAAAAGCCTTGCAAATCAGGGAAATGGTAGCGTTGATGCTGAAGAGTTCAAAAGGCACTCACAGATCTTCTGTTCATGGATAGAAAAGGGTGCAACCCTATTATTATGACCAACCTTGAATAACAGTCTGTTTGAGCAACTGGGAAATGGTGATAGAAGCTGGCCCACCTTTACACTATAAGCAAAAAAAGTCCGACAATTTTGGGAAGAAAAAAAAAAAAATTCAAATTCAATTTAAGTGTCATAAAGATTCAATATTTTGTTTTTCAGTTTAAACTCATGGATGGCATTGTGTCTCAGGGGTCTTTTGATCACTGAAAACAATCTTGGATAACCTGTGATAATTAGATTGGCAGGTGAGTCCAATTTAAGGAAAAACTAGGAGGGTGTTTCACATTATTAAGCACAGCACCATTTTCAAGCAATATGGGGAAGAAAAAGGATCTCTCTGCTGCCGAAAAAGATTGAAATAGTTCAATGCCTTGGACGAAGTATGAAAACATTAGATATTTCACGAAAACGTAAGCGTGATCATCGCACTATTAAGAGATTTGTGGCTGATTCAGAGCACAGATGGGTTTGTGCAGATAAAGGCACATTGAGGAAGAATTCTGCCAGATCCATGCATCGGATCAAGAGAGCAGCTGCTAAAACACTATTACATAGCAGCAAACAGATATTTGAAGCTGCTGGTGCCTCTGGAGTCCCACGGACATCAAAGTGTAGAGTCCTCCAGAGTCTTGCAACTGTGCATAAACCTTCTATTCGGCCACCACTAACCAATGCTCACAAGCAGAAACGGCTGCATTGGGCAGAAAAATACATGAAGAGATGAGTGCCGTGCAACCCTGGATGGTCCAGATGGATGGAGTAGTGGATGGTTGGTGGACGGCCACCCTGTTCCAACAAGGCTGCGACGTCATGGTGGAGTCATGTTTTGGGCCGGAATCATGGGAACAGAGCTGGTCGGCCCCTTTAGGGTCCCCGAAGGTGTAAAGATGACCTCTGCAAAGTATGTGGAGTTTATGACTGACCACTTTCTTCCCTGGTACAGGAGGAAGAACTATGCTTTCCATAATAAAATCATCTTCATGCATGACAATGCACCATCTCATGCTGCAAAGAATACCTCTGCATCAATGGCTGCTATGGGGATAAAAGTAGAGAAAGTCATGGTGTGGCCTCCATCCTCCCCTGACCTCAATCCTATTGAGAGCCTTTGGAGCATCCTCAAGCAAAAGATCTATGAGGGAGGGAGGCAGTTTACATCCAAACAGCAGCTCTGGGAGGCTATTCGGACATCTTGCAAACAAATTCAAGCAGAAACTGTCCAAAAACTCACAAGTTCAATGACCTGTTAAAATGTTTAAAAAGTTAAAATGTTGTTAAAAGTTTGATTGAAATAACTTGATTTCAGTAAATACAGTGGGGATCGAAAGTTTGGGCACCCCAGCTAAAAATGTGTATTAATGTGCGTAAAGAAGCCAAGGAAAGATGGAAAAATATCCAAAAGGCATCAAATTACAGATTAGACATTCTTATAATATGTCAACAAAAGTTAGATTTTATTTCCATCATTTACACTTTCAAAATAACAGAAAAAACAAAAAAAAAATGGCGTCTGCAAAAGTTTGGGCACCCTGCAGAATTTATAGCATGCACTGCCCCTTTTGCCAAGCTGAGACCTGCCAGTGTCATGGATTGTTCTCAATCATCATCTGGGAAGACCAGGTAATGTCAAAATTAAAGGTTTTAAATGCCCAGACTCATCTGACCTTGCCCCAACAATCAGCACCATGGGTTCTTCTAAGCAGTTGTCTAGAAAACTGAAACTGAAAATAGTTGACGCTCACAAAGCTGGAGAAGGCTATAAGAAGATAGCAAAGCGTTTTCACATGTCAATATCCTCTGTTCGGAATGTAATTAAGAAATGGCAGTCATCAGGAACAGTGGAAGTTAAAGCAAGATCTGGAAGACCAAGAAAAATATCAGACAGAACAGCTTGCAGGATTGTGAGAAAAACAATTCAAAACCCACGTTTTGAATTGAAAAAGAATTGAAAAAGATTGAGAAAGAATTGAAAAAGATTGAGAAAGATCTGGCAGACACTGGAGTTGTGGTACACTATTCCACTATAAAGAGATACTTGTACAAATATGGTCTTCATGGAAGAGTCATCAGAAGAAAACCTCTTCTACGTCCTCACCACAAAAATCATCGTTTGAACTTTGCACATGAACATATAGACAAGCCTGATGCATTTTGGAAACAAGTTATGTGGACAGATGAGGTTAAAATTGAACTTTTTGGCCGGAATGAGCAAAGGTACGTTTGGAGAAGAAGGGGCACAGAATTTAATGAAAAGAACCTCTGTCCAACTGTTAAGCATGGGGTTAGATCAATCATGCTTTGGGGTTGTGTTGCAGCCAGTGGCACAGGGAACATCTCACGAGTAGAAGGAAAAATGGATTCAATAAAATTTCAGCAAATTTTGGATGGTAACTTGATGCCATCTGTGAAAAAGCTGAAGTTAAAGAGAGGATGGCTTCTACAAATGGATAATGATCCTAAACACACATCGAAATCCACGGGGGATTACATCAAGAGGCGTAAACTGAAGGTTTTGCCATGGCCTTCACAATCTCCTGACCTCAACATAATTGAAAATCTATGGATCGACTTTAAAAGAGCAGTGCGTGACAGCCCAGAAATCTCAAAGAACTGGAAGACTTTTGTAAGGAAGAATGGGCAAAGATACCTCAAAGAAGAATTGAAAGACTCTTGGCTGGCTACAAAAAGCGTTTACAAGCTGTGATACTTGCCAAAGGGGGCAGTACAAGATATTAACTCTGCAGGGTGCCCAAACTTTTGCAGACGCCATTTTTTTGTTTTCTGTTATTTTGAAAGTGTAAATGATGGAAATAAAATCTAACTTTTTTGACATATTATAAGAATGTCTAATCTGTAATTTGATGCCTTTTGGAGATTTTTCCATCTTTCCTTGGCTTCTTTATGCACAATAATACAAATTTTTAGCTGGGGTGCCCAAACTTTCGATCCCCACTGTATGCTGCAAACACAACAAATGACAAGTTTCAGTTCTTTACAAACCTATAAAGTGTTTAGAAAAACTTACTGTGCATAATCATTTGGAACAGTGCTTTGTAAGTTTTTTATGTTTAAAAAAATACTGTTATCATTAGGAGGTTTGTTCAATAAAATTTGAATTGTACTCTTAATAGTTGATAACATGAGAATTATGCTGACTTATTTACATCATTTAGGTAAATGAGAAAAAATATCAATTTGCATAATAATTTGGAACACGGTATATATACACACAGGTGAAACTCAAAAAATTAGAATATCGTGCAAAAGTTCATTTATTTCAGTAATGCAACTTAAAAGGTGAAACTAATATATGAGAGAGACTCATTACATGCAAAGCAAGATAGTTCAAGCCGTGATTTGGCATAATTGTGATGGTTATGGCTTACAGCTCATGAAAACCCCAAATCCACAATCTCAGAAAATGAGAATATTGTGAAAAGGTGCAATATTCTAGGCTCAAAGTGTCCCACTCTAATCAGCTAATTAAGCCATAACACCTACAAAGGGTTCCTGAGCCTTTAAATGGTCTCTCAGTCTGGTTCAGTAGGAATCACAATCATGGGAAAGACTGCTGACCTGACAGTTGTGCAGAAAACCAGCATTGACACCCTCCATAAGGAGGGAAAGCCTCAAAAGGTAATTGCAAAAGAAGTTGGATGTTCCCAAAGTGCTGTATCAAAGCACATTAATAGAAAGTTATGTGGAAGGGAAAAGTGTGGAAGAAAAAAAGGTGCACAAGCAGCAGGGATAACCGCAGCCTGGAGAGGATTGTCAGGAAAAGGCCATTTAAAAGTGTTGGGGACTTTCACAAGGA